GCACCCTGGTGAAATCATGCATCCTCTGCACCCTGAAGAAACCTTGCACCTCTGCACCCTGGTGAAATCATGCATCCTCTGCACCCTGGTAACTTGCATCCTCTCCACACAGGTGAAACCATGCATCCTCTGCACCCTGGAGAAACCTTGCACCTCTGCACCCTAGTGAAATCATGCATCCTCTGCACCCTAGAGAAACCTTGCCCCTCTGCACCCTGGTGAAACCATGCATACTATACACCCTGGAGAAACCTAGCACCTATTCATCCTGGTAAACCCATGCATCCTCTGCACACTGGTGAAACCTTGCATCCTCTGCACGCTGGTGAAATCATGCATCCTCTGCACCCTGGGAAACCTTGCACCTCTGAACCCTGGTGAAATCATGCATCCTCTGCACCCTAGAGAAACCTTGTACCCTATGCACCCTGAAGAAACCTTGCACTTCTGTACCCTAGTGAAACCATGCATCCTCTGCACCCTAGAGAAACATTGCACCTCTGCACCCTGGTAAAACCTTGCATCCTTTGTATCCTGGTGAAACCATGTAACCTCTGCACCCTGGTAAAACTTTGTATCCTGGTGAAACAATGCATCCTCTGCACCCTAGAGAAACCTTGCACCTCTGCACCCTGGTAAAACCTTGCATCCTTTGTATCCTGGTGAAATCATGCAACCTCTGCACCCTGGTGAAAGCTTGCATCTTTTGTATCCCAGTGAAATCTTGCATCCTCTGCACCCTGGTGAAACCTTGCATCCTCTGCATCCTGGTGAAATCATGCATCCTCTGCACCCTGGGAAACCTTGCACCTCTGTACCCTGGTGAAACCATGCATCCTCTGCACCCTAGAGAAACCTTGCCCCTCTGTACCCTGGTGAAACCATTTATCCTATACACCCTGGAGAAACCTAGGACCTCTTCACCCTGGTAAACCCATGCATCCTCTGCACACTGCTGAAACCTTGCATCCTCTGCACGCTGGTGAAACCATGCATCCTCTGCACCCTGGGAAACCTTGCACCTCTGAACCCTGGTGAAATCATGCATCCTCTGCACCCTGGGGAAACCTTGCACCTCTGAACCCTAGAGAAACCTTGTATCCTATGCACCCTGAAGAAACCTTGCACTTCTGTACCCTGGTGAAACAATGCATCCTCTGCACCCTAGAGAAACATTGCACCTTTGCACCCTGGTAAAACCTTGCCTCCTTTGTATCCTGGTGAAACCATGTAACCTCTGCGCCCTGGTAAAACTCTGTATCCTGGTGAAACAATGCATCCTCTGCACCCTAGAGAAACCTTGCACCTCTGCACCCTGGTAAAACCTTGCATCCTTTGTATCCTGGTGAAATCATGCAACCTCTGCACCCTGGTGAAAGCTTGCATCCTTTTTATCCCAGTGAAACCTTGCATCCTCTGCACCCTGGTGAAACCATGCATACTCTGCACCCTGGTGAAACCATGCATCCTCTGCACTCTAACACATCAGTGTGTGACTTTTTTTGCCGAACAGTGAAAACATGAGTGAGAGACAAGACAATGTACTGTAGTGACTATAAATAGAAGCTGGGCGTAACGCAGAATGAAAGAATATGTTGAATACAATTCACAAAGGGAAAATGACCTTTAGCAATATCAACAATTGTTTGACACTGAACATAGACAGTATGCAAATGGTGCCCACAATGACCACCAGAAGCTGTTATCCACAAGTTAATGAAAGGATACATAATACGTATAATTCATAATTGTCGTTTTTATAAAACAATGAAAAAATGAAGCACAGAATAATACAAGTATTAAAAATATCAAAACAGCAGAATTATAAAAGACTGGTAGTCATTATTGATGTCCTGGCATCAGTTCAATTATAGGATTAATCACTTTCACCTGAAATTCAAAATCAATGGTAATCAACTGATTATTCGTTTTTTTAAGTATAATACAAACTTGATTTGATAAGGAAATAGAATGACACCTGTTGGACTGGTAATTATATCAAACTAGAAATCATACTGTATTTGTTCTATTAGAAGCGCATCTCTAATAGAAGTGCATATAAACCAAAAAGTGCATGTATTGTATATTGATTGACAAGCTGTTAGCAATCCACTGACTTGAAATAAACAATGGACACAATACAAGACAAACATGAAGAGTGAAATACAATTTGACTTATAATCTACAGTACTGTACTGTAAATGTATTAATTATTCACTGGGTTTTAATTTTGGCACATTTTGCTGTGAGTGAAATCTGCTGAAATTGAATTCATTTAAAAGTAAAAATGACCACAGAACTCATAGTTTTACTAATAAATACAGCAAATATGCTCTCAAAATGTCAAAATGCAATGCTATTTTAAAAGTGTAATTTGATTTTTTATGGAAATTTACCTGCAATGGGGAGGGGATGTTTAAAAAATAATAATTTAATAATTGACAAATTCATCAATGCAATCAATGCAATAATTTAATCAATACAAGAATTTGAACCAAAACAGAGACGTGAAATTGATTGATTGATTGATTGATTGATTGATTGATTGATTGATTGATTGATTGATTGATTGATTGATTGATTGATTGATTGATTGATTGACAGACAGACACACAGTTCCATCCTGTATTGTATTCATCTCTGTTTATAGCACAACTTGAACCAAGTGAAAGCATGGAGGTTCCTCCATGATTAAAAGTAGGGAAGGGAGCATCAACTAACTACTAGTACCAGTAAGTTGCAATTCGAAATTTAAACACCCTCTAAAAATAACAAACACATGTGTGAATAGCACTTTATCTTTGAATTCATTGTGAGAGTTTACTCCTTTATTCAACTTCAATGCTGAATACAAACGTTCTCTTGACCATGGAGCTAAACAGTTTTGTTACGCATCTAGCAAGGATACCCCGACTTTCTGCGTTTCCAATGTCACTCCGCAATGTAAGATGTACGTGAAAGTACGGTTCAAGTTCGAGCGGTAGATTGGTTGGTAATTTAACGATCTAATTTACAGGCCTTTTGTTTTCGAAATTTATGCATTATAAGCAGTGTATTAAGTCCCGCTATAAAGTGTTTCTATACGTAAAGCGTCGATCCGTGTCTCTATTGTCTAAGAGCGATGAATGTAGCAGACGGTCTAATGTCGTGCTTTGCGGTACCACAGCTTTCAGACAATGGAAATACAGGTCGCTGAACGACAGTGTAAATACGTTGTTTTGCACCAGCCTTTTGTTCGTTCGCCAATGCCTATGCATCAAAACAAGTCGATGACGGCGACACGATCCAAGCCGGCTAGATCCAAGTTTGAATGGCAACGCCGAGGTGCGCGTCCCGTCTCACGCTACCTTAGCTAAAATCGATGTGTGAATGAATCAATCATATGGAAAACCTAGTTCAATTTCAGAACTTACCTGTGACTAAGAGTATTCCAATCAAAAAGGTGTTTTGGGCCATGACGTATTTTAAATCTTCGATCAGATGTCGATATACAAATGAATGGTGACTGCCACGGTGCTCAGATTATAGAGTTGGATTTCCCGCGTTATTTTTCTGTAATCATTACTTGTTGGAGTGCTGTCCTGTCCCAAAAATGCATCCAGCGACGAGAGCCAAGGTGTCAGTTGTGAACGTCGCTAAGAATATGCTGATACATCACCAACGTGCACCTCTTTTGAGGCCCAAATCGTCCGGTAGCTTTATTATTGTTTGTGTACCCACGGAATCGGACATGGACGGCAACATTAATAATGGTATTAATTAGCTAGATTGTTCAGAGGGACTCATGTTGTCAATATCTCTAAATTTGTCTTACACATTCACTTGTAAAGCTTGCTATTTCAATATCGCATATTCGTTAATAGTTTTTCACTTAATTTTGCTTGCGCTGTTATTCCCCAGTGCTGTTAATAATGACCATGTAATACTTACAACCCCTCTTGAATGGCTGTCCACCCCTACATAAAAGTGTAACAGCCCAAAAGCGAAACTAAGAAACGCCCTCACAGGACAGTCTTCGGCATAGAGCGGGACACCATATAATAAACAAATGTAATAGTATACACATTTTAATGAGTCCATACAAATAGCCCGGTCCATCTATAAGAAGGGGTAACTTTTCTGTAATAGCATTTTTTTAATAGTTACACATAATGATTGTTTGTTTCTTTACCATACAGTATTCTCAGTTGGCACTTGCAGCTGAGAGTAACAGTGATACAGTTGTATTCAGTGTAACTATTTTGTGGTAAGATTTGTATGTAATGGGTTTGACATTGATGCACAGATTTCAACCGCATAAAACATAAGAATGCAACGATCCGTGTGTGTGTGGTGAAACATTGTTTTCGGCCGGTGCCATCGGAAAACGTAAGAAAGTATTTCCGGTGACTTGTTCCAAACCAATGGAGAGCAGTACTCTGTTCAAGCTATTACATACCGAATAACAATCGTATGTTCGGCAACTTCAATAAAAACGCGGACAATGTCCTGCAGTACTATTCCGATGTGTGCTTCTAAACTTTTTATGAGACTGCTAGCCGCCTTACGGTAAAGGCCCAGTTAACCGACAAAGCAGTATGGGTACTTAACTTAACATGTCGCTGACATGTCAACACGCTTAATATTTGAAAAAAACGGCAAAGAAATATTTACACTTGAAAGTTAGTTTTATGAAATTCTAGTAAGTATATAGACTCATTGACCCGTCAAGTTGAGGTTTTACAATCGCAGATTAGTGTCTTCATAAATACCCCTCCCTCGCTACCGTGATGTGTCGTGATCACGTGTCCCACCTTTCAAAATGTTATTGTAATCGGGTCTAGGTTTTAACGTACTAGTATTTTGAACACAAACTGAGAAATTGAGAAATTCGGGGTGGTAGAAAAACATGCGGCAGCTAATTTGTTTTCCCACTAAGTTTAGCTCAGTGTTTCTGTTCTATACTCAGTAAGGGAAGGACCATTGCAGTGGGAATACAATGGCAAATTTGAAAAAAAAACAGGTCGAAATATTACAGCGAATTCTCCATTGAAAAAATAGCACAAAACTAAGTGAAGGAAAATTATATTATTACTGTATCCCCCCCCCCCGCTTAATAAGGGTTTTATTAAATTTATTTCCCTCACTTTTCCTGTAACAAACTTGTTTCACTGTTCTCTTCACTTGTAGTTTTTTTCCCACAAAAATCACTTGATACACTCGCTTGCCGTCTCACCCCCACCGAGATCAACAAATGGCCAATCGAATAAACGGGTTCATCTATGGTGTGAAAAATCGCCCGACTGGAGACAGTCTGGTGTAGCGTAACACATTCGTCAATAGATGAATGAACGGATCGGAAATACCGATTCAGTCCGCGACGCGTTCACCTTTGAGCCCAGGAAGGGAAAGCGGTGTACTCATGCTGACTGAAGCGAGATTCGATACCACTTGCCACTTTCTCTGTACTTCGTTGTTCACCCCGTGATGTTGACAGGCAATAAAATGCATCCTAATAATAAATTGGGATCGGAAGGTGTAAAAAAATACTAGTAACACACTGGCACACAACAAACAAACAACCCAAAATTTATATTTTAGCCAAAGTGAAGAAAAAAATAATGCGAACAGTTTTGTATACCATCTCCCCAGATTTTCTAATGAAAATTAAACATGACACATGAAAATGAAAATATATAAAAAAAAAAAAATACCACGCTATATATACCAAGGTATATTCAATGCATATACTAAGTAAAAAACATTGTTTGTTTACATGAGACTCGAGCGCGCGCTTCACATCGACTTGGAGCTACAATCGTGAACAAAGTTTCAAGACACTGAAAGAACACAAAGCCACATCTGCAAGAATCATATACATTTTAAAACAAAACTATAGTCAATGATACAATTACCCATTTTAACCTGTATTGAAGAAATTTAGAAAATATTCACACAATAGAAAGGTGCGTTTTAATTTAGCTGTTTTTTGCTGAAGTCGATGTCAAAATGTACAACTACAATAGATTAATTATTTCACAGAAAAATCCGTGAATTAAAACCCGGTGAATTTGATACCTAAATTACAGTGAAATTAAAGCGCGGGGGTCGTCACCTGCGCACGCGCGGGAATTGAGCCCCAAGCGACGATAACAACGCAAAGGCTCATGGGTAGACGCTTGTTTGTAAACAATGACATGCTATCGCTTTAAATACCAGTGACAATTAGTTGGTTTACCAGGGATCTGTAATTACTTAGCTGTTTACTAAACATGGGTGAAAAGTCATATACAGTTCAGTAGAAGTTTATTGAATCCGTATTCTTACGATTAAAATTATTTATTCTTTTAGCATATACCTTAATAAGAAACTTATATTATAACTCATACGAATGCCCAATCTGAGGTCATAGTAACCTTCATTTTTGTTTAGTGCGTTATATTGTTTGCTTGAATCTAACCATTGCGGTGTTACTTCGACCAAAGAGTGTCTTTGCTTCGACGAGTAATGACGTAATGACCTCATTATTACGACGTCACTTCCTTCATGCTCAATTCCCAGTGCGAAATTGTCTGTATTGTCATCGACCCCACAATAGGGCATATGGTTCTGAACAATAAAGTAGTTGTTGGCTTATATTCTATTGCATGCTGAATAGAAGTATGTGTTATGCTGTGTAGAATAAGACGTTATGTTGTTATGCTGCTTATTTGTGCTAAGACTAGAAGTTTCTTGTTCCATGACCTAGTTGTGACGTTAGTTTATTTCACAATGTCCGTAACAATAGCATGCAGACAGGAAGACTTATTCTTATAAGCAGTCCATGTACAAGGCTGCACAGAAAGGATCATATTTTATTGTATTGTACGCGTTTGTAGTCTCTGTTATTGTCTGAAATGGACTATAAGCTGCAGAAATGTAAACAAAAAGCAACAGCGAAATGTGAAATATGATGAAATCCATTTACTATTCTGTCTGAGTGACATGACGTATTTCACGGTCTGTGACTTCGACAAAAAATCATTAGTCATTTCTATAAATGCCTGATTTTGCAATTTCTCACCACCGCTCGACTATTTTCGCTGACTTTTCATGTGTATCAAAATGTATGGTTATTTCAAACGATTTAAAACGATTTTTCCTCATTATTTTACCGGGTATTCATATTATATACTAGTATACTCACACTAAATAATATGAAACATAGCTAGGCATAATAGTGAGTAAATTTATTATATATAAATTTGGCAACAAATATTCTATATTTGTCTTTGCCTTAATTGATCATTTTAAGACATGTTTACACATTTTTACCTGTAAGTCTGAGTGAAGTAAATTCAAAACCTGACAGCTCTGACTTACCAGTACACTAGCAAGTTGTTATTATATGGCGTGTGTTAGTGAGAGTACCCTTGTCTCGATTCCTATAAAATTACCTTTAATTACTAGAGAATGAGTACGCAGCTTTGAAAGAAAATCGAGTAATTGGCGATCAAGTTAAGGATTTGTTTACAGGTATCTTGAACTCATTTTACAAGGGACAATGAATGGTAATTGAAGCTCACATTGTACGTGAAACAATATGCGTATAAGAATTAACCAAATCGTAATCCAACTTGAACCAGGGGTATTTCAGTTACTCGGGTTTGTTGGGCAATTGTCAGGCGAATAAACAGTTTTCGGAAGCAGAAACTTTAAATATGAATTTCGTCAGATAAGTTCTACAGATCTGGAGTCAATGCGAAGCTACTATATACAAGATTGTGCCTGATTGGCTACCCAAACCTAAAATCAAACAACCAGACCAATCAGAAAGCAGATTGCATGTTGACAGGTTCTCCAACGTTTATAATTCTTCTCTGTATATATGCTTGGACTCAACTGCAGATCTGCACCAAACTTTATATGTTTAGGACAACGACTACTAAATATTGCGTCATATACATCACGCTGAATCATGTCTCCCCGGGTGTTTGTTGTCGAGTTTTCTCGAGTGTCCGTCTTCACGTACAGTGGCGTTAAACGGAAATGACTTTTTTTGAATTGTCCAACAATACAATTATCGGGAGTTGCTGACTCCAACCAAGACCAGTAAATTTAAGTGTGAAAATATTTTGTTTGTTAACAGGAAAGTTGCATTCATAAAATCAACTTATTGCATGCAACGAGAACTCACAACAAAAGGAGCCACCCATTACAAATGTCCCGCGTCCTTGACAATCGTTGTCGAGTTTATCGCTCTCGTTTTCCGAGCGGAAAAAAATCAAAGTGACTTATTTTCACCCGAACGTCTATGAATTATAGCTAGAACATTAGTTATTTCAGCAGATAGTTTGTTTTATTCACCAGAAATGTTTGCTCGGGAAACATATATCGGATACAAAAAGGCATCGTGATAAGTTATGCGTATTCCTTCACACGATCGTTTGTTTGAGAGAAAAGTTACTTTATAAAATCATAGACCTGAACTTTAGCATAATAAAATGATGTCTTACATCGTGCTATGACGTCACGTTGGTGTACGGTCACCGTGGCTGCTGCAGTGTAAAACCATTAAGGCTGAGAGAAAAAATATCTCTGTTTCTCGTTTCCGCGCGCATCATTTTGAACTATGCGCTTCGGACGTTTTTTTGTTTCTTCTAAAGCATTCAAAAATGTGCTTGTACTCGCATTTGTCTCA